AGCGCTAAAGATCGTGTTTCAGGGCCTGGGCTCTCTGTGTCCTTCAGGTCTCCAAGTACTTTTTGATCTTGGAAGACCTGATCCGGGGAGGGACAGGCAGCAGCCAGGCTCGTGAAGAACAGGAGCAGACCCACGAGCGAGCGAGGGCGGCGGGAGGTTTGGGCGTGTTACCGGGGCTTTAAGAAAGCTTTGGCGGCGGCGGCAGCCAATCAGCGGCGCGCGCGTGCATCCGCGTGCCCCTCGCTCCCCTCACATCCCACGCGCGCCGCGTACGTGCGGCGGTAGACCCCGCCTCTTCTAGGCGGGGCTTAAGAACCCGCGGGCCGCGGGCCACGGCCGCGTAACTGCCTCTGGTGCTTGTTTAGGTGCTGAGGCGGCGACTGCTCTGGTGGCGCCAAGGCCAAGCCCCAGGTGGAGGTAAAACTCCGCCGGCGCCGCCTCCGCGTTGCGGCCCGGCGTCGGCGGCCCCTGCAGCTGTCTGGGACGTCTCAGCGGACCTGCGCATTGCCGGGGTGAGGATGCGGCTCTTCTTTAGGCTGCTCAAGCAGCCGGTGCCCAAACAGATCGAGCGCTACTCCCGCTTCTCTCCGTCTCCGCTCTCTATCAAACAGTTCTTGGACTTCGGTGAGTGTGACGCCTTAGGGCCGGCCATCCCCAAGGCCCCAAAGGAGTGAGGGACCCGCCATCCCCCCTCCCGCCTGCTGGGCTCTTCAGCCTCAAGGCAAAGTCCGTGGGAACCGCCTGACGGGGTGATGGGGATACAAGCTTGGGACTCTCCAGGGGCTGAGGTTTCAGGTTTCAGGAGGTGGAGGGGCAGGGCCTGACACCCACACGCCCAGCTTCCTCCAAGGACTCTCATCCCAGTTGGAACTCCTCAGCCTTCCAACCCTGCCTTAGATTTAACTTGACTCAAACCGCACTGTCCTGAAAACTTCAGAAAGATCTCTTAAACGTTTTTATTTTTAGAGTTTTTAATGTTTGGATAAGTCGTGTTTAGAAACACCTTGAGGTTGAGTAAATCCTGCAGTGGTATTTTGTTCCTTTTCTGCCGTGAGGTGTTGGGTTGCCTGGAGTGGCAGGACCAGAACTCATCCATTATGATACCTTAGGACAGCCTCAGTCGTGGGCTGCAAATGCCCTAGATGTTGGGCAAGAGCTGGCCTGTGGGCTCCTGGCCACAGAGCAGGGGTTCTAGGACAGCTTCAGCCTAAGTGTGAGCACCTTTACTCGGTGTCCCTTGCACCCTGTTGGCAGCTGAGCTAGTACTTCCTTTATATGGATTGGGGTGGGAAGGGAGAGGGCCCCACTAAAGCCTGAGGCCTAACTTACATGGTAATAGATTCCGCCACCTTCCATTAACTGATCAATCATGTTTTCCCAGAGGATGCCATTCCAACACCAGCAGGCCGAATGCAGTTGTGAAACACTTGAAAATAAAACAAAAATGGAACTCAGCATTGCCGAAGGAAAATCAAGATGATTTAGGCTATCAAAGTCAAGCTCTGTTTAATTCGTTTGTTTTAAAAATGTCATGGGATGGTGTCAGTTGTGTATAAAAAGTGCAAAATTGGTAGAACCTTCTGGGAAGACCAGCTATCCAGAATGTGATGTTGTCTATACTTGTGGGGGAACATACAGGGTAGAAAGAGAGGTATAAGTTAGAGATTTAAGCTGATACCAAATTAAATTTTAGAAATCAAGCTGCCAAAGGTAGATGATGAAGATATGAGAGAGAAGTTGGCCTTTCATCTTAAGTTTCATTTTCAAAAGCTTTTCAGTAGTTGAACCTTTTCTCTCTCTCTCTCTCTCTCTCTCTCTCTCTCATCTCTCTCTCCTCTCTCTCTTCTCTCTCTCTCTCTCTCTCTCTCTCTCTCTCTCTCTCTCTCTCTCTCTCTCCCTCTCTCGCGCGCGTGCGCGCGCGCACACTACTTGTAAATTTTATTCTTAAACATTTTATGTGTATATTTGGGTTTGTGTGGGGGTCATGGTGTCTGTAGAGTTCAGAGGACAACTTGGAGTTAGTTCTTTCCTACCATGTTGGGTCCCAGAGATCAAACTCTGGTGGTCAGGCTTGGCAGAAAATGCCTTTACTCAATGCATTTTCTTGCCCCACCCTACTTGTGGAGTTTTAGAGGTTTGAGGCAGGTCTTGACTTCACAGCTTAGAATGAAAATGTTGCTATTTCTATAAGTAGGCATGTTTTTCTAACTTAGGGTATAGAGATTATTGTGAACATAGGAACCTTTTGTTGGGGTAAACTGAGACAACTCAATTCTCAGTAAAAAGAACAAAAGGAATCTTGGTTACTCCCACATTCAAAGTGATGATTGGAATAGTGTGCCTGAAATTGCAGTTAATTTATTTCTATAGCACCTAGTATCTCCCATGTTACTAGGCATCTTGGCAAGGATGTTATTTGAGTAGGAAAGTTGCAGTAGTGGATAGTGTTATGGTGGATAATCTATGGGGGGGAGTATCTAGAAATAAACGTTCACTATTTAAAAAACATTGGGATCAGTGGTTTGAGGCCAGGGCCTCATGCTCTGAATTTCTGGTGTTAGTTGTGTAGGGGTGGGAGGTAGGGCACTGGTATTTTTAGAAGACTCCAGGGTCATTCTAAAGTATCATCAGTGTTAAAACCCACTAACTAGGTGCACTTCTGGCTGGTCTGCTGTCCCCCTTTCATCTGTGTGGAGTATTTGTTTAGGCCCTTTAAAATAAGAATTTCTTGAATTATATCTTTACTGAAAATTCATTCTGAAAGAATAACAAGTATTCTAAATGGAGTATCATATCCAAGTGCAAGATTTAAACAAACAACATATCATTATATGTTCTTTTTCAGCTCACAGTGGCAGTTACATGCTTCCAAATTTAAAAACATGCAAAAGGTTTTTTTTCTTCTATTAACTATTTCAATCTTTGTATAAGTTGCACCTTTTACTTTAATTTGTACCTTGCTTTTTAAACTTAATACTAAAGAACTTACCTTATATGTACATGTAAACTTTCTTTTCCTTTCTATGACTTTTAAGAATTCATATGGGCATAGTATAATTAGATAGCTCACAATTGATGGCTTGTGGGATGTTTCTAGACTTTGGTATGACAAGAACTACAGTGAATTATTGTGTACATTATAATTTCACGCATGTCTGGGTGTAGATAGAAGACAAATTCCTAAAGGTGATCTTGCTACATCAGGAAGGATGCACATTTGTAGTTTTGATAATTGTGAGCAAATTCCCATAGGAATTGTGTACCTACTGGAAGTTTCTGAGACAGAGTGCCTGTTTTCCTGTACTTTTGTACATGGTTGTCACACTTTTAACAGGTGGAAAGCCATGTTTACATAGAAACTTTATCTTGTCTTTTCATTATGGAAGATTGTAAACATATAAAAGTAGAAGAGATAGTTTGATAATTCTTGGGTCATTATACTGAAAGCCGTGTGCTATTTGTATATGTTTGCATATGCAGGCTGTTAGGTTTTCTTATCAAAGTTAGGTTTGTTTCAGACAGTTTTTACTTTTTAAAAAAGATTTTATTTATTTATTATGTATACAACATTCTGCTTCCATATATATCTGCACACCAGAAGAAGGCACCAGATCTCATTGTAGATGGTTGTGAGCCACCATGTGGTTGCTGGGAATTGAAGTCAGGACCTCTGGAAGAGCAGTCGTTGCTCTTAGCCTCTGAGCCATCTCCAGCCCCAGTTTTTACTTTGTATCCAGTAACACTATTCTTTTGAGTTAACTGTTCTTTCAAGATTTGGTATATTACTATTTAACCTTCCACGGAAATCTATGGTATTGGTCTCTGTAGGTTTTCCATATCATCTGGAATCTGTTTGGATAGATTTTTTTTCTAGAAAATCATTTTCATCAATATTTTTGGCCAGTTTGTATAGGTGAGATAAACACACACACCTCTTTCTTTCTCTTTCCATTTAGGAGCTCACTTTTTATTTTGTGCTTTTAAAAAATTTAAGTTTGTCTTTTGACAAGTTTATAAATGTATATAACATATTCTTATTACCTTCTCCCATCCCTATCAATCCCCACACCACAGTCTCTTTCCTAGATTAATGACTTCTAGTTTGCTTTTTTGATCCATTTAATTGAACCAGAGCTGTCTGTGTGACCATTGGATTGGAGGTTGGTAGTGCCTTATTTATTTATTGAGACAGGGTCTGGAAATCCCTATGTAGACAAGGCTGACTTAAACTCAGGTTTGTCTGCTGCCTTTGCCTTTTGAGTACTAGGATTAAAGATATGTGCCACCATGCCCAGCTATGTTTGTTTGTTTATTCATTTATTTTTGAAACAGTCTTACATTGTAGTCCAGGCTAGTCTGGAACTCACAATTCTCCTCTGTGGTCTTCTGAGTGCTGGGATTACAGGTGTGCACCACTACATGCAGCTTTGGTAGTAGTGTCTTAATGGTTTTCCTTTATTTCTTGATTTTCATTTTTATTATCCACCCTCCCCCCAACCTTTATTTTAGATAGGGTTTTATTTTGCTAGACCTTGAACACTTAGTTATCCCTTTGTTTCAACTTTTTGAGTGCTGGAATTACTGGCATGAGGCACCAGATCTGGCTTCCACCCTCTTCTGGTTTATTTGGTTAAATTTATTTCTTAGTTTCATGGCTTTGATCTTCCAGTTCGTGCTTACCTAGCCCTTAATAAGTCTCACTGACATCTTTGTATCAGTTTTGTTCTTTTTATTTTCTTTCTTAAAACAAGTTGAATATTATTTTCTTTTTTCATTGCCTTTTGTTTCAGGTCTTTTCTGTTACTTAATTTTATTTTAATTTTGTGTATATAAGCGTTTTGCCTGCATGTATGCTTGTTCACCCCTTGCTTGCCTAGTGCACACAGAGGCCAGAAGAGGAAGTCAGATCACCTTGAACAGCAGTTATAGACTGTTGTGAACCACCATGTAGGGAATTGAACCTAGGTCCTCTGGAAGAGCAGTCAATGCCCTTAACTGCTGAGCTATTTCTCCAGCCTCTTTATTTCAGTTCTTAAGGCTTAAGGCTGACTAATCAGTGCTTTAGCTGCTGAAATGTGTATTTGACCCTTACCCCCATCTTTTCTGTATCCTGGGAGATGTTTATTCTTTTATGAAATAAGGTTAGCTTGAGAGTGTTGAAACTTGCATTGTAGGTTTATTATGTATATCAATTATTTTCAGTTTGTTGAATGATTCCAGAATGTTCTCTAGGTTCTCTGACTTTTTGATGTTTGTCACTGTGTGTGGTCATTTCTTGTGATTGTTCCTTGAGCAGCAGAAAGAAGACTATTTTCTCTTCCCAGGTTACGGAATTATATATACCATATTGTTATTTAGGCTTTTTATACCTTGTTAAAAATTCACTTGATTTGTTGTTGATCAAACGAGAAAAGTTAAAGTCTTCAAATATGATTCTATTTTTCCATATGTGTCTTAGTTTTTTGTCATATGTTATTAATGTGATCCTTGGTGCTTATTAATTGTCATGTCCTCATGGTGAATTGTTGCTTTTAGCATTACTAGTTTAATGCTTTTTGGTCTGGATTCCAGCCTTATTTGATATTGAGATCTAGTTCCCTATCTTCTTGTTTGCATTCTTATTT